CCCCTCCCTACAACCTAATTTATTTTCTTGCTTGTCCCATGTTGTATCGATTTGTGCAAGTAACACAGGAACATGGATTTACAAGTGTTTAGGCCTTACAAGATTTTCCAGGTGAAGAAAAAAAAAACCTGGACACATTCGAGTGACTTGGTGCATTTTTTGAATTTTAGGGAAAATTGCAAGTGCAATTTTTCCTTGTAGGGGCATCAGCTTATCCTTTCCATGTGCCAACAAGGTGAAAGTAAGACTCCTTGTTATGTAAAGCATGAAACAGTGTGTGTGGTAGTTATACAAAAACAACAACAACAATGCCAGGTTAGTGTGATGAAATGTAGAACTGTTTTCTGTTCCTCAGAGTTAATGAGACCAAAAAACTTGAAGCTGTCATGTTGCTGAGAAATCACAAACCCAAACTCTTTTTTCCTGAACACATTCCAGTGTCAGAAAACTTAAAGTTACAGCTTTACCTCTGACTATACAAAGCTCTGACACTGGAGACTCCTTCCGTAAACGTTAAATGAACATTTTTAATCGTTTAGGTGGGGAAACCCCTATATAGGTCACTGTGAATGAGTTGTTTCTATAGAAACTATAACGTATTAGAACGAGTGCATTCATAGAAACCTGTGTTTTGCAGCTGCACTAGTGTCAGAGCTGCTGTTATAGAAAATTAATCAACACCTTCTGACCAATCAGAATCCAGAGTTCAACAGCACTGGGATTTAAAGAGACCTATGTATGGTGTATGGTTATTCCAAACGTTCAGGTATGTGTCATTCAGGATCTCTCACCCCCTCGTTTACAGGCATCTGCGGAAGATGTTACGGACAGCGGACAGGCCCCTGGAGGAGCGCCAGGGAGACCCCCAGCATCAAATGGTTTCCGGAGGAACTCTCCACTTAGTGCACGTACAGAGACCTCTGATCCCCAAGTGTGCATGTTAACTGGATTCAGGATTATTGTATCCATTCCTCTGAGGGACAACAATCTTTTATGTGTACCCCAACCTCAGTGACCCCTTCCCATATTCTGCATTTATGAGAGACCCTATTTCCTGCAGCAGGACGAGGAAAGAAAAAGAAAAGTCGGATCACAATCACAGATGCTGATTTTTTTTTTCTAAAAAAAGGAAAACGACAACTATTTAGTAGAGTTATTTGAAATATGTATTGGACAATACTCTGAATCAAGCTGTACTGTGTAGGAATTGGTGTCTGGGGAGTGACACTGTAGAAGCCGTTTTCCATTGAAGTGCATATGTGGAAAGTGCTTTTCTGCCCAAGTGATACAGGCTCAGTTACTCCCGCTCCCGTCGGCTAAGGAGAAAGAGACAGCTTGTGTCATGGAGTGGTATTTGTTTTTCCTCTCTGTCCTATCCCAGAGCTCGTCAGACAAAGGAATGTCAAGGCAGGAATGTTAGCTAATGCATCAGGGGAAACACACACAGACAGAGTTGTTGGGCTGCCAGTTGGGATCATTAGTACGTTTATGCTTTGAGCTGCGCCAAATGGGATCATAGAGGAGGAGCAAGGCCAAAACTGCTACTCCGATTTTCCTCATCACCCACCTGCTCAATCCATCATAAGGCCATGTGTGATCACACCTACATACTCAGTCTCTCTTTACAAGAACCCAGAGCATTATCTGAGCAATATCTGACCTCCACTGACCACTGCTGCTAGAAAGCTTCAGACACTTTACCGGCCCAAATCTGCTCAATCGAGCCACTGGATATATAAAGAAATGATTACAATATACACACACAAATACACTGAATGCAAAGAAACAGCTTCCTTTAAACAAGGAGGCTAATGATTCCAGCCTTTTTCAGTAACACAGAGCAGGTTATGGGGGCAGTTTCTTTTTCTTCCCCCCCCCCACTGTCTTCTCTGTAACCTGGGTAAAGTATGCCGGTCCACCAAAGCATTGTGAGATTTCTAAATTAGATAATAAAAGCATGTCCTTGTTGTTCAAATGTTTACACTGTTCTGCTTTTAACAGGAACAAGAATAAAGATCTATAACCGGAGAAACTCTTTTGGTTAATGGGTGTGGTAAATTGTTGGTGTCAGTCGGATGTTTTTTTTTTTAAAGAAGTGACTTAAACCTGATATACTGTATATAAGTGACAAAAGCCTGGCAACTTCATTTTCTATGTACAGTCAGGTCCATAAATATTGGGACAGTGACACAGTTTTGGTAATTTTGCCTCTGTACACCACCACAGTGGATTTGAAATGAAGCAGTCAAGATGTGACTGAAGTGTAGACTTTCAGCTTTAATTCAAGGGGTTTAACAAAAATATTGCATTAACCGTTTAGGAATTACAGCCATTTTTTACAGAGTTCCTCC